ATTATCGATGTTATTATAGCATGGTGATGTCACATTGAGTGCGTACATGACAATTTCGTTATCCAATTTAGTGCCACTGGATTTAATGAAGTATTATCATCAATGGCGGGTAATAAGTTTTATTGAGTGCAATTTGAGACACGTTTTTACGGTGTTCAGAAAAGGTATTTAGTTAGCAAACGTTGAAAACTGAATTACAGAATGACTCGGGTTAGTCATGATTGTTTGCAAAGCAGCAGTGTGATTGGAAAAGAGGCAGACCGTGTTTTTGTTGCAGACAGTCGTCGACTATATGTTGACATTTTTTGTTACTATGTAATAACTGGAGCCCGTAAATTTCACAAAGATAATGCCAACGCTCACTTTGAAACAAGAACCGAAAGAATCAATTGCAAGTAATATGTAGGTAATATTCTTTTAGAGAGAATGTTTCAATATGTTTAAATAGGACGCTGGTACTTTTTTTTGGCTTCTATTATCAAGCCTATCAATAGACTGAATCTGCGTCAGTTGCTTGTTTTTCCTTGCTAAAATAATTACCACTCAGGATAATAAATACACAACATGATACACTCCTAACATTGCGTACACTATCTAGCGTATGCAAAAATAGTATTCAATTGTAAATTTTATATCATAATTCGATACAATAAACATTCAGTGATAAGAACGAATAAGCCTTCAATAAAATAAGTCACGCTATTATTGTGCGGGATTTTCGTCGTATCAATTCATTCAGTAAAAAATTCTTTTTTTTACCTAAATCTCAGAAATAATAATGCTACTACAATTCTGGGAGAGAAACAGACGCAAGGTACAGAGTCAAATGAAATAACACTGCGGAGAGTACTTAATGGTAGGCAGCGGCTTGGCTCTACCCCTGGCATTGCTGACGTCCATGAGCGACGGTGACCGCTTACCATCAGGCGGGCCGTATGGCCGGGTGGGCGTCTGCCTACAAAGGCAATAAAAAATAAAACGCTTGTGTATGAGATAAAAATTCACAAAGAGTTTTAGGCATCACGGATAAATGAATTAATTAATTATTTTTCTCAGTAGTATACGATTTTATAATGTCAGCCTATTTGACGAATATCAAGTATGCTGACGATGTCTTCCTTGTCAGCAACACAGCCGAGATTAAATGACAACAGCAAAGAAGATATTGTCTGATGCGTCCGAAGATGTTGAAAGAAGATTATTTGTGGCATTTAAGGCAAATATGAAATTCATTCATCAACAACGTTTAGATAAGTAAGCTCTTTATTAATAACAATATCAATAACTTATGACGTATGGGATTTAAATTCGTTATTATGTAAAACTTGTAATTTATCTTTGAAATTAATTGTAACAGAACCACTAGTAATAAAGAGTGAATCCAAAGATCAATTAATTGTATTTTTAAAATCCCTTTTTTTTCATATCCATTAGCTTTTCTTTGCTTAGATGTGTGGACGAGCTCGTGGCCCAACTGGTGGTAAATGGTTGCCGGAGCCTATAGACTTCTACAATGCAAATGTCGTCACCCACCTTGACATATGAGTTCTAATGTCTCAATTACTCGAAATACAGTACAGCGACTGCCCCTACCTTCAAAACGTAACGCATTACTGCTTCACGGCAGAAATAGGCAGGGTGGTGGTACCTACCCGTGCGGACTCACAAGACGTCTTACCACAAGTAGAACGTCTTTGATATCTATCTAGTACAGACATTGATCTAGTACGTACATTTATAAAGTATAATTAAGATAACTTGTTCATTGACAGATAATTGATATTTCAATTTAAATGTAGTCATTTATTGTCTGGGCTCAAAGTTCTCCGTTGAGATTGTATCGATACGACAATGTCGGAAAATAGCTAAACGAATTCATTATCGAATTTCACGATGAAAGAATAACTTCCGGCAATTAATACAAAAGCCCTCAAAACATTATAATATTGGGAGCGATATCTTAATGTGGCTTATTTTTAATCGAGAATCAGTTATACGTTCTTATTATCTAGTACAATAAGAGGAGTTACGCGATATAATTGAGACTTTGACCTCAAATTCAAAGTCTCAAGTAGTAGACCAACAATAAATAATAATAAATATTTACTAACAATCACGCCACGTTAACTGGTTCCGTGATAAGTTCGTAAAGAACTTGTGTTACAGGTCTGGTACCTGTAGGTATAACGGAACGTGTATAACGGAAATAAATGTAAGATTTTTATTATACACATACATATATTTAATATACATCCATAACCCTGGAAAAGTCATTTATATTTATCATACAAATATCTTTCCTTGGCGGGATTCGAACCCGCGACCTCCTTATAGTAAAATAATATCAATGATATTAGTTTCTGATGATAATGAGCAATGTTCTGTGTAAACGAAGAGGTCCCAGGCGGTGATCCAATGAACACAGTTCTTCATTGGGTAATATAGGCCTGAACTTAGGTAATACAATCCAATTAATTAGTTAGTTGTAGATCATTGGAATCGGTGCTTTAGGCAATAAAATTGACTCTATGCCTGACTATGTTCCGATCTGTTGCATGATATTAATTAAATAAACATTTTAACGACGTATTTGGCTAAAATATCCGGCCGGCATCGTTTATTTATGATTTTTTTTAATAGTCCACCTGTCATCATAGCTTTTGCAACAGTACCGTAATGTCGGGAACTCATTAAATCTAAAAATTATCGCAAGAACCCTTTACACAGTTTACTTACTTACTAAACGTATATGTTTTATATTGTAATTGCCCTTGAGTGTTTAGATATCATTATCAGGGCCGAAATCCATCCTAATCTGAGCTATTTTCTTTGAACTTAAACTAACTTCCTTACAGTAATGAATATTATCTTCCAGTTTTGGCTTATGTCGCAGTATTTTTTTTTTATTGCCCTTGTAGGCAGACGAGCATAAAATTCTCCTGGTGGTCAGTGATTAGCGATCCACTTGCATAGTCCTTCGGGTATTCTGTATGATGGTAATTTTGATAGAAATGTCATATACCAGACTGTGTGAAGCAGGTCTCTGGCCGAGAGCTATCTCTCTGGGAGATGTCTGGTTAGTCGTTGTGGCCTAAAGGATAAGACGTCCGGTGCATTCGTATGTAGCGATACACCGGTGTTCGAATCCCGCAGGCGGGTACCAATTTTTCTAATGAAATACGTACTCAACAAATGTTCACGATTGACTTCCACGGTGAAGGAATAACATCGTGTAATAAAAACCAAACCCGCAAAATTGTAATTTGCGTAATCACGGGTGGTAGGACCTCTTGTGAGTCCGCACGGGTAGGTACCACCACCCCGCCTATTTCCGCCGTGAAGCAGTAATGCGTTTCGGTTCGAAGGGTGGAGTAGCCGTTGTAACTATACTGAGACCTTACAACTTATATCTCGAGGTGGGTGGCGGGCGCATTTACGTTGTAGCTGTCTATGGGCTCCAGTAACCACTTAACACCAGGTGGGCTGTGAGTCCGTCCATCCATCTAAGCAATAAAAAAAAATAAAAAAATATGTTCGGTGGTGTAGCACTTCCGTCGTCCACAGTCGAGGCGAAAAGTTTGCCCAGAAAGTCAGCTTTCTCTTTCGTACTATGGGCCAGACTTTCATCGGACTTGCGCAATGGTAGGAGACTAAACCTGCAAAAGCTTGCTTCTGCAGTTTTGGCAAGCGACCAAAACGCACGACTCCCGGAGGGGTTGCCTTTTAGTCGCTCGCCAACTCTAGCAACGTGCTCCGACTTCGCCTTGGCAATAGCCTTATTGTAAAACCTAGAAGAAGCGTTATATTCCCGCCTTTATCCTGAGACGTTAGGATCCCGTCATCTCGTGGCTCTTCCTATGTCGCATATACGGACCGCTTGAGGTGTGCGGCATGCCCATTGGCATTATTATACCAGGGTCTGCTGCGACCCCCGACACGCACCTCAGAGGAGGGAATAAATAATTCCATCTGCTGGAGCACCACGACTTTAAGACGGTCCGCACAGACGTCAGGATTAGTAAAGAAAAAGTAGAATCGCCCCCATGGGTAGGATGCGTAAAATTCACGCTATACATCCCAATCTGCTGAACTATACTGCCAAACTTTTCGATACCGGTACCAGTCGTCGACGACCAGGACGAGATAGTGGTATTGCAGCACGCATAAGGCAGTGATCAGACGATCCAAACGGAGCGTCAACCAACACACTGTATCCGGCTGGATACAGGTGGGGTGGGCGATTTCGATAATTGTTTTTTTCTTTTTTTTTGTTCGAAAGGGTAGACTTCTCGAATGGTGCTGTAATCAAACAAGATCTGATGATGGGACGAGAAATTAAAAAAAATCTATAATTTTCAAAGCCTATTTTGAAGTGATTTGAGTGTTTCTTGTTATTCTTATTTTTCTGTGCCGCCGCGCACCGGCCGGCCGGCACCTTGTACATCAATATTACGCTTGATCATCATTTTGCTGCGATTTTATTTTAAAACTGCGATATCTTATACTCATTAAAATAGTCATACTTATACTCATTAAAATCAAGTGAGGAGAAATTTCTTTAAAATTAAATACTTGTAAAGACTTGTAACGTTTTTATTTGAATATAAGGTTTAATATCAAATTTATAAAAACACCTTCACAAATAATGCTTTAATTTAGAACAAATTTGGTTAGCATAAAAAAACGTGATGAGCCTTAACCTTAAATTATAGACATATTTTATGCTGTCGCGGACTTTTTTATAACTTTTAAATGAACAATTTTATCATACATTATTTTAGCGAAACTTTAACCGTTTCCGAAGCAAACGCAGCGGAAGCTCTCAAAAGGGAAAAAACCCCGATAGCCTTCCTCAATAAATGAGCTAACTAACACTGAAAGAATTTTCAGACCTGAGAGTTGTAAACCTAGTAGGATTTTGAATAAGCAGACTAATGTAATTATAAAATTGTTACTTTATTTTATTTTCATCGAAACCAGAATACGTTTTGTACATTCGTTTAGTTAAGCTCCTCGGGGAGGGTAACGGCGGGAGCGGGAATGATGGGAGTGCCAATGATGACAGGTGCGACGGGGATGGGGTTGATGGGAGCAACGATGACGGGCTCAGGGACAACAGGGGTGGGGTTGATGGGAGCAACGATGACAGGCTCAGGGACAATGGGGCCCTCTTCAGCCTCTTCGACGACAATAACGGGCTCGGGCTTGATTTCAGCGGGTCCAACAGAAACACCAGCGGGGACGTTGACGTTCACGATGAGCTGCACAAGAGGAGAGGCACCGGAGGGAACAGCAGGTCCAACGACAACAGGAGTGGGCTTCACGGGAGCAGTCACTACACCACCGTCAGGGATAGGGATGTCCACGTAGGCGGGTTCGGTGTCGATGGGTTCGTAGGTGTCGACGAGTGCCGGTCCAACGGAAATTGGTTCAAAGACACGGGCCGAAGCCACGGCGATCAGGGCGAAGGCAACGAGGAATTTCATTTTGGCTGAAAACAGAAATTTACATAACGAGGACAGTGAATTACAACAAAATACTTAGAGATTATTTTTTTAATATTCTATAAAAGTACTTACGTTTTCAATTGTGTAGATCCAACTAATGTCTGGTAGGAAGAAGAAGATAGATTTTGTTATATAAAAGCCTGTTCACTTATCTTATTCAGTTAATGGTTTGATTATGGAATAAAGGTAATATATAGGATAAAGATTATTTAATTGATTTATACCATCAGTATATACTCTTATCAAATTTCGCGCTGCATACATTCCTTAAATTCACAGCCAATGTCTATAAAATCTGTCTGGCTCTATACGTATGAGTAATAACACGCGCAATAATTGCATCTTGTACAATTTAACCACCCAAAAACTTAACTTTAACGCTCACTACTCGGGGTTACAGGAGGCCATAGCTCATAGATCAGGACGTAACTGGCGCGCACCATCTCGGAACTTGATGTGAAACATTAAATTTTATTATTTATTTAAGCGGCTATCCGAAATGCTAACAGATTCCAGTGGAGAAGTAGGCTTAACGTGGTAGGCAAGCCCAGCGGCTTGGGCTCTGCCCGCTGGCATTACTGAAGTCCATGGGCGAAGGTAACCACTCGCCATCAGATGGGCCATACGCTCGTCAGCATACAAGGGCAATTAAAAAAAATTAAAAAAATTAATTATTACTACTTCGTGGCCGAGATAGACAGGAAGGTGGTGCTGACTACCTGTGGACGTACAATAAGCTCTATCACAATAAATTCTAGTTGGTGATCTGAATACGTCGACGTAAAAGTTATTATATCAATGATAACCTTTCAGCACTGTGGAGCATCAGTTTGTCTGAGTGAATAGAAAAGACAAAACTCGTCATACGCACTACGATGGACATTTATAATGTACTGAACTGTTATGTCGGTACTTGTAAAGCCATCGGTCGTTAAACAGCCAAAACAGATATTTAAACTGGAAGATCCCTTGAGTGTTCTCGAACATTTTGGACATAATCGAAACGAATTTAAAAGCGTAGCGTAGACGACTCGAAGACAATTCTATTCGGAGCGAAACACCTGTTGGCGCGGTTGCGTTGAGATGCTGAGTGCAAGGCTTATCCGATTAGAGTGGACAGGAATGTATTTACAACTGGTTTATTAATCGGATTAAAATTTCGTACAGTTTTATGCGACACGGACAATGATTATGCGTTTTTTCGTTGGTGCACATAGTTTTATCTCGAAAGTCTCCTTTCCACGCCTTTCCTCCGCTTCCGCGGCAGTGAGGAAAATAGGGTTGCTATGTTTCGAACATGCTCCTCAGGTTGAAGAACTTTAAATATTGTCTGGTATCGGGCATATGTTGTTAGAAGCGCGTCCCATAAGACCTATCTCGGTTAAAATATCTGCCACACGTGTAATTCTACTGCTCGTGCCAGGAGCAAAGACGAACAATCGCGTCCTAAGCAAGCCACATATAGAAGGCGGTAATCCGTATTTCCTCGATGACAACCATCATGCCTTCTTTTAAGTCTCCCTTTTGAGTTGGCCATTTCACTTTTAGGAAATGAGCTGGAGTTAGAGGATAATAGTCCGAAGGATCATATGACAGAGGAATAAGGGGCCTTGAATTCAGAGGCTTCAATTTAAGTTAATAAAATCGACATTTCTTCAAATGTGAAATGTGTTAAACCTAAAAATGATCTAAAAATGACCTGTTAAAATGATCACTTCATCAAGAAGGTGAAGAGGTGAATTGTGACAGTGAAGTGTACCTTAACTGTCGTAATAATTTAATTGAGTTTTAATTAGTATTTCAGTGAATAGTTGTCTTCCTTTAATCAAATATTCAACTGTATTTACCATTAATAATAGTTGTATTTATCTGCACTACCTTTGGTTGACTGGCAGAGAATGCCTTAGGCATTAAGCCCGCCAATGTAAATTTGATATGAAGTGTTATAAATAAATAAATACTATTCTCAAAAAACTCGGCGGGCTGATGTATAGACATCAAGGTTTAATTAACTCGGTTCGCTAATTAGGCGTGTTTTGTTAGTTTTTGAATAACGTTTACTATTTGA